AAACTGTGAGTAGGCAGCTGTTCAGTAAGCGTTGAAAAAAGCCAGTGTGTTTGAAATTTTGAACGTTCCTCTTTGTCTTCTTCAACAAGACAAATTTTACTGACGTCATCCTTATATGGTCTTTGTTCAGCGTACATCTAGACCTTCGTTCAACGATATGAATTCAAAATTGACAGTATTTTACTGAATATTTTCTAGGCTTTGAACCTAGAGACAGCGATAATTGTTATTTAAAAAATTTCTTCCATCGGCCTTCTTGCCCTTTGTTCATCGTTTTGCGTTGAGGAGGTAGAGTACATAAAAAAAGATTTCCTTGACCATTCTTCTGAGAGTAGTGTAAGCGTCATCCTTTTTTTCCATCCCGGTTTGTATACGAATCTATGCGGCAAAATTGTGCCAAAAAATTTCACAGTATCGTGTAATTGTTTCCTGGAATGACTATTAAGCACAATAAAAGCATGACTATCAGTTGCAGAGAACGGAGGTTGCGTTGCGAAATATGTCTTATCCTATTTGCATTTTTTGTCCATAGACTCATGTTCACTTCCATGTTCTGTTGTCTAGTGCTTGATTTTTAGGCTGACATTTGCATAACCGGAAGTGCTGATAAAACTATTCGCATTTGGTCTGTTAGTTCACAGAGCTGTCGCCACATTTTGCGCGTGCACGACGGCCCAGTGACTGGCGTTAGTCTACATGCGACTGGCGACTACGTATTAAGTGTCTCCTCTGACGAGGTAATATTTCAAAGTGGCATTGCTTTGTTGACCAACAGTACAGCCTCATTTCTAGAAGTGGGCGTTTTCTGACGTACACTTGGGAAGAGTTCTATGCAGAGTCACTAGCCCTTCTTCAGGAGGTATGCTAGATTCATCGCCATTGTTTCTCTGTGATTTACTTTTTATCTTGGTATAATTTGGCTTTTTCCAGGCATGACATCGGCGCAGTTTCATCCTGACGGCTTGATCTTCGGCGTAGGAACGGCAGACGCGAACGTAAAAATATGGGATTTAAAGGAGAAGACGAACGTAGCAAATTTTCCCGGGCACATGGGTGCAATAAGATCAATTGCGTTTTCCGAAAATGGCTACTACCTGGCTACCGCTGCTGCAGACTCGATGGTGAAGCTATGGGATCTTCGGAAATTGAAAAATTTCCGAACTATAACTCTTGATGATAAGTTCGAGGTAAGTTTTTTTGAGACAGTTGAGATTTACTGAACGTGCTGAATGTGGAGCGATCAGTATTTTTGATTTTTCACTTCAGTAACTTAGTCTAACAACACATACCTGTTCGTGGAGCATATTAGAAGGCATCCACTGAATTCTAATCGACGTGATTGTTAGCATAAAAGAAATGGAATGCTAAAGCGCGAGATATGCTTCAAGTAGTTTTGACTAGTTTGTCGTGATTTGATTTAATATTCGCACTACAAGGTGTATATGCTATACTGTGTCTTTATATGCTGTTCAAATGATGTTTTTGGGGTGGCAATCGGAGTCGCATGATTTTTGACAACTTTCACTGCTTCTGCTAAGAAAATGTTCATAAGCGATTGCAAGGTGTAATGTCTTTTCACGTTCAGAGGTTCTGTCCGGAGCGGTGAAATCTGACTTTGTTCCCCAAAAAAGAATTTAATGGATCGATGATTTCTTGTCTTTGCTCATGGTTCTGCCATCATATGAGATTGGTCGCTTCTTTCAACACCGACGTAGGTTCTTGTAAGTTGGTTACTAAGAGAACTGTTCTCTTGGGATCGACTGCGTCGGAAATATGACGCTTCTTGGAACGTCACAAGTACTTGATTAGTTTCCAGAGAACAAGAGGCAGTGAAGAAGACCACGTCTTGAGGCACGAGGACGTGATAAAATTGTGTGTTTTCGGTATACTTGAAAGATGCACAAGAAAAGTCATGCTGAAGAAAGAAAGAAAACAGAGATATTCTCCGGTTGACGATGATTGCAAGATTGAAATACATTAGCCAGAAACCGTCAAACCTTATTTGCCAGCAGCGATGCAAATTCTTTAACGAAACTTCGGGATTTATTCTCAGAACGACGGTATGACAGTGAATTGAAGCTTCTGTCCTGTCCATCGGTTATTTTCTGTCGCTCATAGATTAGGATTTCAGCAAATTCATTGATTGCAGGTGATGAAATTTTTTCCTTCCGATCAGATTTAAAGTATAAAAGGATTTGAAGTTCTTCTTTTAAGTCAATTTGCCTTCACAGTATAGGAGTTTTTTCATATGACCGTTTAAGGATTCTTGAGAGATATACCCAGATAAGGAAAATTACATTTCACGTATATTGGTCTGGCAACGCTATCCCTTATTTTAATTGTTGCTCGCTCTCAGCAGCATAAATACAGCACTGGATTTGTGGAGGTTGGCTAATTACATTTGAAATTTAATTGATATAATTATCCTATCGCGCAGCAAAATCCATAGATGTTAAACATTGCTAAATTAACTTATGTTCATTCACGTTACCAATGACTTCGATGTTGAAGTATGAATTTTAGGTTAACGACCTGTACTTCGACCAGAGCGGTTCATATCTGGCAGTTGCCGGCTCAGATGTCAGGTAAGATGATTGTGGCGGTTGTCATAATTGTTTTTGTCTTCTACTACCGCTATGGTTCAGGGTGTACCAGTGCAAATCATGGCAGGAATTATGCGTTCTGACGGATCACACGGATCTGGCTACTGGAGTAAGGTTTGGACACAACGCTCAATTCCTCGTATCTACAAGCATGGATCGTTCCATCCGATTTTACAATCCGCCCGCTAATGCTGATTCTTAAGCCCTAGCGGCGTGTGTATGATATAAGGGCTGTAAATACACACATGCGTTGAAGGCGCCGTCTCAACGGATACATGTCCCTTTGTAGACATGCGCTATGAGTAATGACGGTTGTGTTGGAATGATTAACAATCTTTGAATATTTGAATACATTTTTTACCGGTTATTCAGGTTTCTCTATGTCTAATTTAAGCGTAGCTAATTAAGGAACTGCCAGTTTACGATTTAAAAATGCTTATACATCCGTAATTTGAATCTTTTTTTATTCATAAATATGGAAAAGGAATTCAAATAACGAATGACTCCTCCAAGACTAGATTTCACGGCATATTGCACCGCTTTTCACCTTAATCGCCTTTAAGCAGGCTCCTCCTCCATGGTTTTTGAGTACCTGCAGTCTCAGATGTATCTCGCATAATTTTATGCGCTAGAACGACGTCGTACTCATCAAGAACGATGTTTTCGGAGCTGTTGCTCCTTATACGCTACCGCATAAATACAGTGGAGTCGTGACCTGTTGAAATGCTCTCTTTTCTAAGTAACTAAGAACAAGGGAACGGTACAATGCACCGTAAAATCTGGTCGTGGATGAGTCATTCGGTATTTGCCATATTCGGGCGTAAGTACAGCTTGTGACATTTGTGCGGTAGCATATAAGGAATAGCAGCTGTTGAAACTGTTCCTGGTGTAAGCGGGGTTGTTCTAACGAACAGAATGATGCGAGATGCGTGTGCTCAAATTCGTGGAGCCGTGATTTGCTCAAATATCCCTAAAAGTCAACTCGAGCAAGGGGGCGGTGCAATACTGTGGCCTTCGAGAAGTCAGTCATTATTTGACAAAATCTTATCTGCGAATAGCTTTTTCTATGCAATAAAAAACAATGAGCAGAAATCTATGCACCAGGTTTTCAGCATTGTTATGAATGTTTTAATATATGGCTTCATATTTTAAGGTATTATTATACTGAAGATATTTTATTCACAGCTCATTTTCTTTCCAACTGCACAGTCAGCAAGTTTAGAGGACTTTCCATTGGTTCCAGAAGCTCTATGAACTTTACTTCAGTGGGATGTCAAGTAATCAACATACGAGAGTGTTCGCTTGCCTGCTAGGTAACTTTTGCGACGAAGACCCATACTGCTTTAGTTTTGGTTCAGCTCGAATAATTGCGTTTCGACTACTCAGGGGTAGTTTCTTCAGAGGCAGCAATTCTGCACTCGTTAATTGCTTCGATTTTCAAGTCCCGGAGTGCGGCACAGTAGCTGTTAATTACTGAATAACGAATAGGCCTTTGTCGCACCAAATGGCCTGGCCTCCGCTGCGAATCACTGTAAATGTTTCCGTGAGTTTTGTTAAAATGATCCAGATTTCTGACAGTTTAAGTTCGTAGTGGTCCCCGTTCATGTTGTAGAACTGAATAATTAGTGTTGCTTCAGCATGCTTTGGCAAATATTCTTCGAATTGGGGATGTACTTTCATCTATAGCTGTGTTGAGATATTCCGGCTTTGTTTAGCTCTTCGTCTTTTTTTACCTTTCATCTACAAAATTTCCCACTCTTATCACAGCATCAAGTCCCCTTCAGTGGTTTATACTTTTAACTGTTTATCAAGCAGTTAGTTTCGATGACGTTTACACCTGTGTCGGAGGGATAGATGCGTCAGACAGACAGTGTTTCTGGTGTTCCTGTACCAGCGTTTGAGCTTCGACACAAGATAGCCTGAATCTGAAGCATTGTATGCCGCGACACCTGTCAGATGATTCACAGCCGTCCCCGGATTTTTCGACCGGTCGTTTGACCAAATGAAGAAGCTATTTCGCCTTTCTTTTCTGGAAGTATTGCTGTTGCTTATGTTCATATTAGAATAGCAATGAAACAATGATAACGGAGGGTGTTTCATTTTTGGTAAATACACCCATGAATTTTCACGTGACCTCTTCGAACATATTTCTTAAGCATGAAACGGTTTAGAAATATAGCTCTATCATGTTGGTTCAGACTAGAGACAGGGCGAGAAAATAAAAATTAGTGGGATTTGATCACAATTGTTAAAAGAGAAAATGAAGATAAGTTAAGGATTTAGCTGATCGTCTTCCATGAGAATGTCTAACTTTTTGCAGTAGAAGCTCGCGGCAGCGTACAGACCACAGTGCCGTAGCAGATCGGCATATTCTTTATAGATGTGCCTCTTGAATATCTTTGGTAGAGAACAGATGTCCGGAACATTGTTCTTTAGACCTACTTCGATCACCATTGCGGCCATAGATACTTGTTTAATGGCCAGAAGGATTTCAAGCATCCGCTTCCAATGACCAAGACTGAGCAGGACGAGCGCGGCTAGGCGTTTTTGATTATTGTCATAGCAACACAGAAAATCAACCCATTTCAACATGATGTCGGTCGAATCCTGCTGGCTGAGGCTAACTTTGGCCAACCAAACTGAGTCTTCCCAGTTTCCGAACGACTGCAAGTACCGGCACGCTTCCTGGTACTTACCGATCATGCACAACAGCTGAATGCCCTCGCTGAGACTGCCGTTGGCGATGAGGTTCGTGGCGACCAACTTTACGATACTTTGGCATTCCGCTGACGATCGGCCAGCGGAGAGTAGGCAAGCTTTCAGAGAGTCACTGAAATAGTCGTTCTGCGCCCTGTCCGTTTCGAGAAGCAGCTGTACGGCAGCATCGAATAGCCGCAACAATATTAAAGTCTGGATGTACTTGTGGCGCTGCTCTCCGGAAGCGACTCTACAGTCGAAGGTGGCACATTGACAAAGCTGAACGAACCGGAAACTGTCGTTCGGCAGCAGCAGATCACAGAAACTGGGCAAGGAAAAGCGTGAGATGCCACTTTCTCCATCTTTGTTCAGCATATATTGCGCGGTATTCCAGAAGCTGATCTCCCACTCGTTGCTGAACAGCAAGCCACACAACAAGCAGCGGTCGATGAGGCAATTGCAGGCGGCGATTTCATCCAGGCGTTCGTCGTCAATGCTGCTTAAACATTTCATGACCGAGATCTTGTAAGACTCCTGCACATTCAGCCCAGCGATCATCGCCTGAAGCCCAATTCTGGAGAAGACGGCGGTCATCTGGCTGGTATCCTCGATGTCCAATGTCATCTGTGGCTGCTGAGGCGGTGACAATGACGCCATCAACACATTCCGATCGCGCAACAGAAATTTTAGCAGCATTAGCGATATGCCATGGTTCAGACTAAAGTACAGATC